TATGTATATATATATATATATAGTAAACATATGTGTTTACCTACATACATACCCGCAGACTTACGTACATATATACATACACACATACATACATACATACATACATACATACATACATACATACATACATGACACACATACACACGCACAGACAGATAGATAGATAGATAGATAGATAGATAGGTAGATAGATAGATAGACAGACAGAGAGATAGATAGATAGATAGATAGATAGATAGACAGGTAGGCAGATAGGCAGATAGATAGATCGATAGATAGATCGATAGATACATAGCTACACAGATAGGCAGATAGATAGATCGATAGGTACATCGATAGGTAGATAGATAGATAGATAGATAGATAGATAGATAGACAGATAGATACATACGTACATAGATAGATAAATGGACAGATGGATAGGTCGATGAATAGAAAGTAAGATTAGGTAGATGGATAGTTTACACATGCAGTATGTATGTCTGTGGTTCTCTGTTGCGGGAACTTAGATAATCAAGAACCTACCACAACATGGGAAACAACTGTTATAGTTGCATGTGCCATCTACCCCTACTGCGATAACTTGACCCGGGTCCTGGGTTTCTTAACGAAGGACCTTGTCATACAACCCTGACAGAACCCTGCAAGGACGTTACAAGGGCCCAGTTGCAGAGCCTCAGTAAGGCGACCCTCGGCCAGATGCGCTTCGCCAGCTTCCATGTGCCCATTCCTCTACTGAACTTGGTACCCCCACAATTCATAACTTCAGCTGTGTCTTACGGATTGGGGTAACAAAAGCTGAAACTGATTTCCAAGTGCCCATAAGATTCAGATCCTCCGAAGGCCCGGGGTCCGCTTTTGCCTCGCTTTGAGCCCTTACGGGTACTGTAAGAGTTGCTCTAAGAGATACCGAAAGGATGGTTCTGAGGGTGACTTCAAGGATTGCGGGCAGTTTAAGGCGCGCGCGCGCGCGCGCGCGCGGCTTCGGGGGTTAACGGCTCATGGGACTTTGTTGAAGCGGGTTTTGAGTAGAGTCATCAGTATAACTCTATACTTAGCCATCTGATCCTTCAAGTTTGGGTGCTTCAGCTGCAGGATTTGAAGGGTCAGGGCCCTGGGAGCCTCGGGGCCTGAGGGTTGGGCAGTATGGCGGCTTAGGGGTTGAACAGATCTAGGTTTAGGGTTTAGGGTTTAGGGTTTAGGATTTAGGTAGGATCTTACTGCCCGGCTTTAGGGTTGACTCTGGCATTGCCTTGCTCTTCTTGCCCATGACGGCTGCACCCTGTGCAGGCTGTACAGCCGATGTGTCGAAGCAGTCAGCCGGCAGCCATGAGGAGGCTGGCAGTTGAGGTGATCTTTTACATAGACTTGCGAAAGTCGTTTCCCGCGAGGTGGGGGGGTATTGCAGGGTTTCGGAGTCGGGGACTTGAAGGTTACCGTACTTCTGGCTTCTTTCAGATTCCCGCGGCTCGGGGAGCTCGGAGGTAGAGTCCTAAAATCCCTAAACGCCTTATAAACCCTAATTGAAGCTCCGGAGGTGTGCAAGCTTCCTTCTGATGCTCCTCGCGCTCGAAGCTACGACTCATCTTGGCTGCAGGTCTGAGCCAGCAGACGACAAGTTTAGGGGTTTAGGGGCTCAGGGTTTCGGGTTACGCGCGCCTTCGAGCACTCGGGCATGCCTGGGCCCGGACGACTTGAGCCTGTACAAGATACACAAGGAGGCTCTGACCCTGAGCAGCCTTCGAGGATGGGAATTCGATATTTTCCGGCGCTTCATTCCCAAGATGCCAGCGTACCAGCAATCTCTATGTAAAAAGCTATAGTCGCAGAACGCTTCCACAACCCTTGCGGAGCCCTTATAGAACCCCGATAGAAACCATCGAACCATTACATGTCCACCTCGACGACTGTTGCGGAGGCGGTCAGAAGCACGAGCAGCGCCACGAAAAGCGAATGGCGCATGGCCTGGAGCCGCAATTTGACATGCCAGCCCGGGACCATCAGTCAAAACCGGGCAGCAACGTGTATCCCATCATCTATTGTGCGATATAGGTCACCTAGTTTATAGCATACACTGTCTTTTCCGAATCATATGAGATACTGCTACATAGTATAGTATTCAATGGTCGCCTCCATAATCGGGTGCAGAGAAGGCAAGGGCCCGGCCTTTTGGGTGGTCCCCTTTGTGCAAGCGCTTATGGCAGGTAGCAGGATGTTCAGTAATGTAGGCTCGAGCCACAACGAGCCTCAGACAGGCATATAGTTGGGAAACCAGAGGTCCTTGAAGCATTGAATAAGGCTGAGGGTCAGACGAAATTGACAGGGACCACAAGGGGATACTATTTCTCATTCTGACCCCCAGTTCATTGGGCTAAGGATCCGACATCTCAAGCGGCCTCTTTGCTCTCTGCCGCAGCAGTCTCGCATGACGTGCAGACTCGACCCTACATCCCCGGATTGAGTGTCGGCATAAGAAACTTACCGGAGCCGATGATTCCATGTCCTGGCAGTGGATCATATGCGTCGGGGGTGACGGAGCTGACACCTGGCACATGTGTGTGCGTGTGTGGATGAGGGGACGGGGGCAGGGAGGGCGGTTTCTGCTTTGAGCACTACTTTAGGAAGGCTTGGTAGCATGCACGCGTTCCAAGATCGTAACACCTACCCTGATGATGCAGGAGAACGACCATGAGTAAGAACACATGTGCTTGAAGAAACGAACGTAGTGAAATTGCTTGGCCCCGATAGACAACAAGCACTCTGCACGGCCGACCTAGCCACTAAAACTGCCCTTTACCAGTACGATACCTCGGCGCAATCTTCAAAATGCATTGTCATGACAAGCTTTTTTTGAAGGGGCCTCACACTGGATCATCTGTCTCCTGAGGTCGAAGACCATAATCGCCTGCCGCTGCTTGCTTCACATTGCCAGCCCCGGTGTTCCAAGTCAGGACTACTTCAGAATATAGCACCATCGCCGCTTGCATTCCTTTAGATACTTCGGATTTAGGGTTTAGGGCGACACGCGAGAAAAGGCATCTGGATTAGCAACTCAGCCTTGTCACTGCTTGCAGAGAAGAGATGCTGCTCCGTCTCGTCCAATGCCATGGCCACGACCTCAGCTCTACGACATTATACTACATTATATGATATCGTACTACAGCAAGCCGCATTGTACCGTATGACACCATGTTGGAGGGTCCCAGCTTCAAGGCTTGTGCTGGGCACCGAGCGGCTGGCGAAAGCACATGTACTATCTGCACTAGTCGGGAGCAACTTTTGGATTCTTGCTTAATGTATCTCTGCACATGGGCTGGTCATGCTACCCGGCACCTGCTTGTATGTATGCATGCATGCATGCATGCATGCATGCATGCATGTATGTATGTATGCAGTATGCACGCGTGTATATAATTCCAGGAATATAAGTAAACAAATATAATTATAAATATAAATACAAATACATATATATATATATATATGTGTGTATGTGTGTGTGTGTGTCTAAGTATACATTTTATTTATTTATTTGCTACAGTTTACAATTGTCTCTATACCCTAATTGTCCGCAAAAGCGTTGAACCGCTCGAAGGGGGACAAGTGCTGCCTCCAGAGCCCTCAGTATTCCTGATTTCCTGGTCTGCGTGGCCCCGACTCCAGCTGTATGTCGGACCAAAGGCAATACCTGCATCGTGTGTGTTGGTGTTTGAGGGTTGGGACCATCGGAGCACTAGTTTAAGCAACGGCCCTTTCATGACACACCTATAGTCTCCATTGTAGTTCCTTTTTTGGCTTCTCTCTCTCCCTCTCAAACGGGCGAGACCTTCTGGAGGATCTTAACTATAAAACAACGTCTGGAGGGTATAAAACTGGTTCAACAACAAAGAAGTACATCCAACTACAATGACGAAGACTAGAGGCAGATTGACAAAGTCTATGCACAGTGTTCCGTTGCAACGTGTGAGGACCGAGGAGCATCCTTCGGTCCTGCTAGGAAGCGCTGGGTAAACCGATCAGTCACCAACTTAATGGACTGAACTAGAGTAGATAAAAGTAGATTAGACTCTGTTGTGCTACATTGTAATCTATGGCATATGTTAAATTGTCTTGTATCATACTGTATTATCTTGTACTATATTGAATTACCTTATTTTGTACCTTTCCTGTACATTCCTTTGTGCTGTTATTTTCGGTAACGAAAAATATCGGTATCACTCTTTAGGCTTATGGCCGCTTCTTGATATCCGGCCGCATTTTGGGAAATGTGGCCGAGCTTGGCAAGTCTCAGCAGTACTATGCTTAAAAGATAGGGATTATATAATTTATAAACGAACCTATGGGGTTCCAACCCGGGAAACGATTTGGGATGCTATATGTTCGGGGTTCGCCTTGATGTTGACTAGTAGTGGACCCGTCGGGATTTGGGATGCTATATGTTCGGGGTTCGCCTTGATGTTGACTAGTAGTGGACCCGTCGGGTGTAGGATCGAGCTTGGATTAGATAACCCCCTACAACATCCAGCGCACAGCACAGTGCACACTCTTTCCTGGACCGCGTGGGCTGCGCTGCACCACTTCGCTCGTGCCGCCAGATGCTCAGCGAAGGTCGAACTCACGACTCCATTCAGTTTTGTAGTAGCAAAGGGACTTGGTAATTGTACGGGCGACGGTCGTCATGGGGTGGCACTTGCGGCTGATTCTGGCCACACGGCCAATAAAGTCTTCATCTGACCATGTGCTCCAACCTTGCACACATGCATGCATTATCGGGACCTAATTGGCCTGCATAGCATGATGCTCTGTCCATCTTTCAAGGCCAAGTAGCTAAGGCAATTCATAATGACAGGGCTGCAGCTCTGGAGTTGGATTTCCAAATCGTAACTTGGAGTGCGTGCATACACTCTCCAAACACAACCTAGGAATCTAGATTTATAAACTTAGAAAACTTATGCCGGCTGTTTGAACGAAGCTGCACGATTTCCGCTTGCATGTGCAACTTCGGTCGGATGCGATACAAGGGCCATTCGAATTCAGCACATGTCCTGGCCAATCGTGTGAAGCCCTCCTCAGTTGACAACATGTGCAATATGTTGTATGGAACGACGGAACCACGGGTGCCCCTCTAGCTATATAGTAAATGAAAGGCATGCTGAATGACAGAATTCCAAGGTTCGATCATTTTCCAACCGGACTCCGCCGATCTTGCAGCTTGAGCCCTGGTTAGAAAAATTCCTCCCCTGTAAGGGGTTCTGAAGTGCACCCCACAACACTGCAGTGTCCATCTCAACAGCTTGAAGAGCTCGAGATGTTGTGGAGCCTAGGGTGTAATGTTAGACCATGGGCCGGCAGGGATTACATAATTATCTTGTAGCGCCTAGGGCTAAGAAAAGTTTTCCAAGCGCTATGCCGAGCAAGTTGCCACTGATCGCTCTTGCACACGAGTGGTCACTTCTTCCAACCAGCCATTCATGACACCGCAGTCGAAGCCCTTTCCACACCCAGCAGGATACCCTTTCAACCTACATGGCGAATATCGACTAGTTGCAGGTTTAGGGTTTACGGCTATACATTATTTAGGGTTTCTAGCCTTAAGTAGGGTTTAGTTGTTTCAAAGTTGGATTGTGGCCCGGGCTTATGTGCGGCGAGGTGCGTCTCCACCTTCAAGGTGGTTTTAAGGCTGAAGTTGGTGATGGATGTAGACTTGCCCTTCCGGTGAACATAGTCCCTGAAGTCTGTATATGCAGCATCGAGCGCATCCTGAATAGATCTCCCAGAGAAAACCCGTAGCCGGCACAGAAGAAGCAAGCTAGAGCCCGCAAGATCTTTTCCCCAGCCCACGATAGCATATGTGTGAGCCACATCCGGCTTGATGGTTGATGCATCGTCCAAGATTGTAGGTAGCTTTCTGAAAGGCCAGGGAGGTTCGGTCTCTTTGAAAGGACTGGGCTTCGGATCTTGCTCATGAGCGGCGGCGAGGGCTTCCTTTGAGCAGTCATACCACACCTGTACGTAGATGCCAACTAATATTCCTAAGCACCTATATAGCATATAAGCTCTATATCTATTTATAATTATTTATAAGATATCTATATAGCTTATAAATATGTTATAAAATACACGTTTATAAAGTCTTTACTAGTGCGAGTAAGGTTCCTCTGCCATGCAAATATGACACACGTACTTCGAAGTAAAACCCGATGCCAAGCCCATTGATTTCCGAAGGAACGGCCAATCCCCCTTGACCGCTAGCACTGCCACTCGAAACCGCATTGCACAGCCATTGTGTAGCACCTAGGCTGAATTACGGCACGGAGCAGCTTCTGTAGTTCACGGCTGAACGAGGTCTATATAGACACAGACATCAACCCCAGGCTACAAAGCCTAGCATCTAAAGCCGAGGCCGAGAAGCTTCCACACCATCGCGATACAGCTGTGCAAGGTCGCTCGTCAGTGCATCCAGAAGGACTCTCAGTGTTGCATACATCTCGGACGGTATACATGTGTAGAGCATCCTGGTGGTGAACGAGTGCCTCGTTGGTTCTAGACGGTAATTGAGAACAGCTGGGTTTGTGGGTGCCAACATAGACTAGCTTTAAACTGACTATAGTCAACGACGGCAAGACACCCGCTCATGTTGAGAAAACTGAGGCCCTTAGCCCCAATGATTGGTTGGACAGAAAGACACATGATAGGCTTCTTCCCCTTTCCTCTGCCCTCGTCACCATGTATGGCGAACGGTATGAGGGTGGCACTGATCTCATCGAAGTCCTCCCTTGTAAATGCATCGAAGGAAGGGTGAATGCTCCGATAGTGTTGCCAGAACTGCTTGAGCATTGTGGTGTATGCCAAGACTCCATCCAGTGTATGGCCACCTAATATAGGCTGTCCTCCAATGCTAAGTGCATACTCTACCCACGAGCTCGGAAGCAAAGTTGGAAAAGACCAATCCTCTTGTAGCACTCTGCCCTTCTTGATCACTCGGATTGGTGCATTGACTCCGGTGATTCTCACCGGCAGACTATGCCCCCGCTTCTGAATAAGTCGATACAGGCTGCGGGAGGCGTTGGAGGATCCAGATGCAGCCAATTCTTTTAGAGACGGGTCTACCGGTCCTTAGCCAAAGGATTAAACAAAACCCTATATAGTATAGAAACGGTATCTGTGAATAACCTGTATAGGTTTAGGGGTTAGGGAGCATATACCCTAAACCCTAAACCCTAAACCCTAAACCCCTAAACCCCTAAACCCCTAAACCCCTAAACCCCTAAACCCTATAAACCCATAATTTAAAAATATCGAAATATCTGACCACGCCTCCTTGCTTCTGCATCTTGCGGGAGGCCACTTGAGCTATCCGGACAACACGTTCAGCACTGTCTGCCTAAGCCCATTAAGTCGCAACAAACTTAGACCCTAGCTAACATTATACTGTATCCTGTAGAGGAAAACATATGCATAAATGCATAAGGAACCCCAGTCCGGAAACCAACCAGAAGCTCATTAGCCAGGTCATCGTCGTCGCTCACATCATCTTCAGACGTAGAAAGGCCTGCGTGCTCAGCAAGGGATTGCAGCTTTAAGTCATGGGGCTTGTAGGTTTGGCTTTCGGAATGCAGTCGGGTTTGGGCATGGGGGCTGGGCTAGATTGGAGCCTGCAAGCTAGAGGCACCATGAAAAATAGGGTCGGGTGGGATCTATGGTTTAGATCTGGGGTTGCTAATTGGGCCCGACCTCGTGCATCTGAAGGAGCATCTGCTGGTTGTTCTGGAAGCATGCCTTCCGGCTATATATATTTAGGGTTTAGGGTTTAGGGTTTAGGGTTTAGGGTTTAGGGTTTAGGGTTAAAGGGCTCAGTGGTCCGACCTCGTGCACCTTGTGAAGGAGCATCTGCGGGTCGTTCTCCTCGAAGCATGCCTGTACGGATGTTTTTGTTTGATTTGTCTTCGTACTACTTTAAATCTAGCTGGATCTGCAGAGAGCAGCTGCTGTGCAAATGTGCAAACATGTCCACCAATGTGCAGTATTTCTTGCTCCCTCTTTCTCTGCACAGCCTCCCCGCGTGTGCATCGCAACATGAACTGCTAGCGTGAACGGCAGCATCACACGATTCGGGTAATTAAACGTGGCGGGTGCAAAGCATTTGATGCACCAGCTTTGTCAAGCTTGAAAGCAGGCTTGGCCGAACTTCCCTCATTTCTTCTCCTTCTTGGGGTTCTTGGATTTCTTATCCTTCTTATCCTTCTTATCCTTCTTGTCCTTCTTGGCAGGCTTGGCCGTCTTGGCTTTCGACTTCGTGGAACTCGTGCCCGGCTTCACAGCCCTTAGCGGGATTGAGGGTTTTGGGGTTCATAGGGTTGGGGATTAGTACTACGATCTCAGGGTTTAAGAGCTTGCGGCCTGGGGTTTATAGGAGCAAGATCAAGTATAGGATCTTATTCGAGAGCTTAGGGCTTATAAGGGTTGGTAAGGTTTCGGAATATAGCGTCTCAGGGCCAGAGCTTTCTAGGCCTTCGGTTGCAACTTCTTATATCATCTGCAGGTTTCGAGAGCTATGGATTTGGGGCTTTATAGGGTTGGGATACTCTATATATATATATATATATATATATATATTATATAGGGTTTAGGATTTAGCTAGGGTTTAGGGTTTAGGGAGGGCTCTAGCATCTCAGGGTCACACTACTCAGGACTTGGGGTTTACAGGGTGTCACATGCAACTTGTTACAGCATCTGCAGGGTTCGAGAGCTAAGGGCTTGGGACTTAGGGTTTGGGATATAGCTTGCAAACTAGGCCTCAGGTTGTTGGAGCTGGAGGTTGAGGGCTTCCAAGACCTACCCATGTGTGTCAGGCCCAACTGCATTATATCGACTAGGTAGTTCGCAGACAAGGATCCGGGACCTGACAATATAGTTGTTCATTATCAGATCCTGTTTGGTCACCTCGGCGAACATCTTCAGGATCGAGTCCTGGAAGGGCCTGCAAGGAAATAGGCTAATGTTGCGGTTTAGGTCTGGCTTCAGGATGCACAGTACGAGGGCTGTCTAGTTAGACCAAGCAGCTTGTCCAGCGGACGGGTGAGGGCATCGGATTGTTTCTTTGTCAGATCATCAAAGCACTTCTGGAGATTCGCGAGCTGGGCCTGGATTTGTTCCCGAAGCCTCGGCAGCAGCAGCAGCAGCAGCAGCAGCGCAAGGATCGATATCGCTTAAGCAAATAAATTGCAAGCAAGCATCGCTTCGGCTCGGGCCCCGTCAGCAGCATCGAGACGGTCCTGTGCAGCACGAGGGGCTTAGGGTGTGCAAGCTTTGGGGCTTTAGGGTTGTATAGTTGTATAGCTTAGTAGTAGTACAGCATGAACCTACCCCGGTGCACAGGTCCAGCACATCTTTGCAGTTGTCGATCTTCCTACCCAGGATTTCGAGGTACTCCGGCAGCAGGGAGACCGGGCTGCTGGTTTGCGATAGGCTTGGAAACACCAGCCTTATCAAAGGCGAAGCATATAGGTTTGGAGGGTTTAGGGATTTAAGGCTTAAGGGCTCAGGGTTTCAATCGTAGTGCATTGCAAATGGAGATGCAAGCGAATGGCTTGAAGGATGCGCTAGAAGAGAAAGAGTCCAACTGCCCTGTTGTACCACCAGTGCTGCTGGAGGCTGGGGCAGCAGCACCATTCATCAGTGCTGCATCCTCAGCATCTATGTCCGGTGTATCCTGCTGGAGCAGAAAGCCGCTGTCGTCCTGAACAGGATATGCATGTAAATAACATGCATATGTGTGTGTGTGAACATACCCGGGCGTATTGCATGTGTGTGCATGTATTACATGTATAAAACATATTTGTATACACATATATACTGAGTATACGTAATATGTATATTATATATATATATATAGTATATATATACACAGACATATATATATATACATATATACTATATACATGCATATATATATATATATGTCTATACCATACATACACATATATAATATATACATGTATAATATATATATATATATATATATATTTATATATACATACATACATACATACATACATACATACATACATACATACATACATATACACACTAATTATATATATTATATATGTCATATGCACATGTGTGTTTGTGCGATATATACCCCTGTAAGTCTGTGCTCCTCGAGCTCCATCGAACCATTCATCTCTGTCTGCTGGGTTGTTGTATCCGCGGCCTCGAACTTATCGGTAAGCACCAGGCGAGCCTCCTCCTCACCATGCACCTGGTTGCGGCGAAGATTTTTTGTCTTCGCCGCCCATGCCCAGGCTGCAGCAACCATCTTCCTAACCGTCCACATGCACGGGAAATCGAGTATCATACTTGCAAAGCAACTCAGCTATACGACTGAGAACAAGACGGCGTCCACATCAAGACGTTCAACAGGTAATGCTTGGTCACCCATTGGCCGGCTTTGCTTTTGCCAAAGCTAGCCGTATGCATTTTCTTAATGTGTACCTCGATTGCCTTGAAACTGCCGTGAGTCTTGAGCAGGTCCCGGAGCTTGAGTCCTAGGCCACAAACATGAACCACACTATAATTATCGATCATGCATGATATATATATATATATATTGCGTAATAGCCCAGCTGCGTCCCTCCGCTGTGCGGTAGAGGGCAAGCGCTGCATCAGAGCACTTGAGACTTCCACATTTTTTGGGTTCGAAATATCGCCGCATCCTCGGACACACTGTCATGCACTAGCATGATATATGTAGCACTGCATGTGATATCGCTTGTGTTGCATAAGTACAACCGAAATTCTGCCAATAGCTCGGGCTCTTGGATCGCGGTCGTGCAGTAGTACCCGAGGATGTTGCATTGGAAGACGGCGGGGATTCACTGGGCGGGGGTGATCCACCAAGGCTCCCTACTCCGGTCCCCTTTCTCTTCAGTGGCGTGTTCTGAGTCGGGCCAGGGCCTGCGTTTGTCGGCGGCAAGGTCTGGCTACTGCCTGTGTTTGTCGGCGGCAAGGGAGGACCTGCGTTTGTCGGCGGCAAGGTCTGGTCTGGGCCTGCGTTTGTCGGCGGCAAGGGAGGACCTGCGTTTGTCGGTGGCAAGGTCTGGCCAGGGCCTGCGTTTGTCGGCGACAAGGGAGGACCTGCGTTTGTTGGCGGCAAGGGCTGGCTGGGGCGTGGATTTGTCTGGCTCGGGTGGGGTTGGTTGAGTTTTCTGCTCTTGCTCGGCCGAGGTTTCGTGGCTGGCTCGGGGCCTGGGTTAGTGTCTTTGGGGCCATCAGCAGGGCCGATTGGCATTGTTGCCAGATCCTTCTCCCTCACAAAGGGGCACTGGGCATCTTCGATATTGCTGTCGTAGGACTGTCCACTCTGCAAAGAAATCGATGCATCACTCGGTGGTGAGTGGCCCAGAGGCACAGGCAAAGCCCCTGCCAAAGCATCATGAGAAACCATCTTGGCAATGGCTGGGGCACCTGGGATCCGACTGTGTGTGTGTGTGTGTCTGCTTTTGTCACTCTGTATATGTATATGGTGTATTTACTGTATATATGTGTGTCCGTTTATATATATATATATCCATCATATATGCATATATATGTGTATAAGGCCGCATGGTGTGCATTATGCATGCATATATACCATACATGGCATGTAAAGAAACTTGTGAACACATAGGCGACCACGTTCATTCAGGCAATATATTTCTATTTATGTATAATGTAAATAGATAAATCTAGATAGATATAAATAGATATACCATGCACAGATATACACCTCTACACAAGCAGACACATTCATGCACACATGCATTTGTTCTCATATAACATGCATATACAGTGCAGGGACACATCCACACACACACACAACATATACATACATATATATTATATATATATATATGTATACACACACTACAGGCACATGTCTTTATGCATGCAGTCGTATCATGACATATGGGTACACATACATATACTATGCATCATGCGAGCATGCATGCTAAAACAACCATATATATATATATATATATTATATATTTAAGATAGCATATATGCGATGCTAAACATAGGTACATGTATATGTCCATATACATTATAAGTTCGCCTATAGCGTAACATAGCAAAGCATATATTCATAGATACTTAGGTGCCTCAGTTGCATTCAAAAATTTCGAACACATACATACATACATACATACATACATACATACATACATACATACATATATACTTATATACTTATAT